GGTCTCTTGTGAGTTGGCACGGGGAATCAGGCAGGCTTGTCTGAACTAGACACGACGGTGGAATAAACATTTCCAAAAGCCCCAGTGAGTTATAGGGTTGTGGGTTTACCATCTAGTATTCTTGCGTTATTCCTCTCCTGACATGTCAACAAACTTTTAACCGAATTATTCCAAGATACCTGCATGGATTGTGTTATCCTGGTAGAACGTTGTGGAGACGGACCGCCGACTGAATAACATTCGAGCTTAAAGCACTACTGACGTGCCTGAAGCCGAAATCGCCACTTATCCCTAGCAGCGCTTTCCTCTTGAAATTTCCGCCGGTGAACTCGCACATGGCATCAGTGTTTGCGTGTGTATTTGAATTTTACCGCATCAACAGTAAAGTGGGAAGTCTTTTGTACGAGGGCTGTAACCTGAAATCTGAGGGGAAGAGACGTGTTTACGGGGCTGCAAGAACGCACTACCCTTCTTCGTTTCGAGGTATCAGAAACGGATAGGAACTTGCCGACCCAAGACTAGTCTCTGAGGTTCCTACAAACGACAATGTTGACTGGAGTTATCGTAGATATCTTATTCTCTAGTAGGCAGCATCCACGCAGAAGGTTTCAAGGAAATAAAGCTTGCCAAGAGGTGTGTCCTCTTTGTAAAGGCTGGTCTGTCCGAATGAACCAACACCGAAAGCCACAATTTCTAGCGCGTTTTTGCAACAAAACGCGGCGTGGTCAAGGGTTACATCAGTTGTTTAGCAATCAGTGGCTGGCTGTGTGATATGTCCCAGCACACTAAACTCCTGGAGCGAACAACTGTGATTTATTCAATTGAATCGTGTCTGACTTTAGTAAAGCATTACCAAAAACAATTTTTTGACGACGGTTAGCTCAGGGTGACTTATGAAGTGAAAACAAGTCCTCAAAATAAGACCTCTAACACCGAAAAAGCTATCAGGTTTTGAAATAAGCATGATTATCTGATATAGATGCTACTAAAACAAATATAGTATTAGTGTCCATGCATCTCCAGAAGTCCGAACGTGTAAACGTAATGAACTTATTCTTTATAGGGTCTTCCACCTGACTGAGGCTTAGAATAAATGCACAAATTGCCCTTAAACTAAGCTTACATAAGCCGTGCACTCGGTTAAGTTACCTCGGCCTCAGATATCCCCCTCATCAATTCAAGTTTGCAAGTGACAGCTGAAAACTCAGGCTCAAGTTCAGTGTGAATTATTGCTCCGTTTTGGTAAACGACGATCTAACGAAACTCACGGGTTCATTACGCAGGCAAAAAAGAACGCCACGTTTCACGAGTTCACTTACGTAACTTGCTCTTTCTACCTATAGTCATAACCTGGTATGGCAAAATTGCAACATTGAATGTACTGTTTCTGCAATACGCGGAGACAAAAAATTTCTGCTCACGTCAAAGCCCAATCACAGTTGAGTTTGTGCGGCTATTGCGCCTTTTACACAACCACGGTCGAGACATCAACACACTGTTTTCCAGTTTTTTTTAATAAAACATTAACATTTTTAAGAATGAAATGTTCAAGTGCTCGCCCGTTGCTGGACTCAAACCCCCCCTCCACCGATCGATTGAAAAATCACGTGACTTGTTAACATTCTGTACGAACCAGAACAGCAAACATTTCCGTTAGTGGCTTTCTACATTCAAAACCATCGCATTTGTCTAAGCTGTCAATCATTACGCTTGTGAGTACGGCCCGGTTATGGCGCAACCTAATGGCCATTTTTAAGTAAAAACAACTACATGCCTGGTGGGAATTTGATTTGCTTGCTTATGAGGAAATTTTAAAAGGTTGATCAGGTAGTGCAAAGCAAAGAAAGAACTGGGTCTGCATTCTGAGGTCTTGCTCTTTTAATTTCCGCCTTCAAACACATTGAACATTTGAGCATTTTGAAACAAGGGGTGGCAGAGAATTACAGACTGAATGCACCTTATCAAGAGTAGTATTATATTCTCTGATAAGTTGTATTCTATGGTTTTATGCATGGTTTTTGAGCAACAGACCAACTCATTGACCCGAGTATCGAGAAGGCGCTGTATCCTCATCATTAGGTCAGCGACTGAGGA